TTAAAAGGATATTCACGACATTTTACTGCAAATACATTGAGGTGGAGAGATTGGGGTCTGTCTTCTACTTTCCAGTCTTCAGAAACGTTTCCATCACTAAGGAGACCATAGCAGAAGGTTCAGGTATGCAGTGTGAACGTGTGCCGCTACTTTCACATAGGATCAGGAAATTTTGATTTATATATGTGTGTGTGTTCGCACAAGACTGGGACTTCGTAGGCTCAGTATGGTTTTCGACTGGCTCAATTTAAAACTTGTCAAAATTCTTTGCCTCATATTCGATATTCAGTTTAGCGGCTATAATATGTTTTAACAAAAGCAAGCCGGGCAGTTTTTATTCAGTCTTGATGTCCAGTACACTGACGCCAATCATTTTTGTGGTTCCAGCCCTTTCACTATTAGTGTTTAATCTTGTTAATAGCTACGATCATAGGCTACTTCAGCCGTAAGGAAATGGTTCAGCATTTAGAGTTCATTGCAACTTAGTTTGCATCGAAATAGGCCTAAATAATTTGGCTAACAACTTTAAAACTAAGTAAAACACTCACGTCAAGCATATTGTGCTTTTAACAGTCCATTGCGGTACAATGCACAACAAAATCCTATTTTTTGAGACTTTGTTGGCTTGATAATAACAAACGTGTAAGTTTAAAAATCTACTACAATGCTTCAGAATGTTAATCACGCACGCACACACACACACACACTAATCCACGACTGCTTTGCATAGACAAACACGCAAGTATACATTTTCAACAGGAGAGAGATCTCAACTGGCAGCAGGCCAATCCAGCACATGTACTCCGTGTCTATGAACCCACGCAGAATGTGGTCTATCATTGTCCTGCTGAAATAGGCATGGACCTCCCGGAAGGAGATGTTGCCCTGATGGCAACAAATGTTTCTCTAAAATCCTCATATATGCCTCAGAGTCAATGACACCTTAACATACATGCAACTCACCCATGCCATGTGCACTAATGCCAGCCCAAACCATGGAACATTCTAACACGCTTAACGTGCAAAAGCTTCACATGGCTAATTAACACAAAACAGCGACCCATAATTACTACATCTGGTCATTATGGAGCCCCTTAGGTGTCATGGTAGAAAAAAAAATCTTATAGTAATTCTTGCACCCAAGTTCAAATGAAGTACCAATTGGAGAGCATGAATTGTTAACTATACAGCACAGATTGATACGAGATAATTTCTGTTTTCTACCATGACACTTAAGGGGCTCTATATGTTCTAAAACAGCGCCCAATAATCACCACATTTCTGGTAATAAAAAGAAATAAAAATATTTATAAGAAACAAAGTCCATATTCCTAACATTTCAGTTTTGATTGTTTTGCCAGGTGAAAGTCTTCATGATGTGATATGTCTGAGAGAAATTTGGTGATTAGTAGTTGTTTTGGAACAATTAGCCACATTAAGCGTTTTTGAATGTCCCCCAAACCATCACAGATGCTGGCTTTTGCACCTATCGGCAATCTGGGGAGTCGGTATCATCTTTGGCGTGGAGAATTCGACACCCATTTTTTTTTTTCTCCTGAAAACAAGCTGAAATATGGACTCGTCTGATCACAGTGCAAAATTGCACAGTCTTTAGGTCCATCAGAGATGAGATGGATGGAAGTAAATGATTCAGTTAAACTTTCTGTTCCAGGAAAGCTGCCTTGGGAAGATGATGAGCAGACAAGGAAGGAGGGGATGGCAGAGAAAAGGAATCTCCAGGGTAAGTGACCATTTATAACTCTGCACTCACGTTTGTGTTGGTATGAGGATCAGTGCCGTAGTTCCATGGCCTGCAGGATGTGAGCCAGCAGGTGACAGTCGGGAACTTAATTGTCTGAATCACACCGTGTTAAATTTTGTATGGATGGTGAGATATGGCTCTTGATAAAGACGGTTCTCTCTGCTTCTTGAGGGAAATGTCCGTCACTTTCTAATGGATTTCAATTTTTTTTTCTAGAGCTAGTTGGCTGGACTTCACCTCCTCTCAGTAAGTTTAAACACTGATGTTGAAACACGCCACGGTCTTAGTTGAACAAAATCATTTCCTCTATCTAATGAATTTTAATATTTTTTTCTAGGTGCACCTTCCGAAGAAGCAGAGTCGCAGAATTTAAGTATGTCTGATCCATGTTAAAACTCTATACAGTCGGCCCTCGGTATCCATGGGGAATTGGCTAAAAGACGCCCCCCGGATACGAAAATCCACAGATTCTCAAATCCGTCAGATTAAATGGTGTAATATGTAGATCCTTCCATATACTTTAAATCGTCTTTAGATTACTTATAATACCTAATACAATGTAAATGCTATTTAAATAGTTGCTAAACTGTCTTGTTTAGGGAATAATGACAAAAAACTGTACATGTTCAGTACAGATGCAGCCATCATAGTAGAATTATCACAGAAAAATAATTTATAGATACAGAAAATATAAATTCATTCTCTCTCTCTCTCTCTCTCTCTCTCTCTCTCACTCGCACACACACACACACACACTGTTAACACTCACCAACATCCAAAAATACACATGGAAATTTGTATGGAAATTCAGGTTTACATTTTCTGGATTTTTTTCCCGAATACTTTGGTTGAATCTGCAGATGCGGAACCTGGGGATATGGAGGGCCGACTGTATGTTATTTCACGACTGATATTTCACGACTGGCTGAGTCCAGTAAATGATGCTTTTAACTTCAAAAGGTTCCATCGATTTGTGTTGGTATTACCATCAATATGAGAATATTAGATGAAAGCAGAAATATTGTAAAATAATAGATCAGTAGTAAAATGTTTGTCAGTTTCTAATGCATTTTGTATTCTTCTCCCTGGCTGGTTGCCTGACCTTTATTTGTATGTTTGATCTTTATAGCGTATTATGACCAGTGCTTGTCATTCAGTAAATGGAGGTTTTCTAAGTTCTGATAAACCATCTTCCTTTCAGTAAACACCTTCTCCCTCATATCACTGGCCAAACAGCATTCCAGTAAGTCAACCTTGTTTATGTCTGTAAGATCATACAACAATTGTGATGTTTTTGTGAACCTAAAGGACTGACCCGTGAGAGCTTCTGTAACTGTGATCCCATTTCCAACTACAGCCTTTATCCCCAACCTTCCCAGTGTTTCAGGGAGAGCATTTACAGTTTTCTTGATATTCTTCTGTGATGGATTCTGTTTCTGGAGCTTATCATTTTTCCTCTACTGCATTGTGTATCCGCGTGTTTGTTCATTCTGCCTGCATTGCTGCTATGGTGCTGATACTGCAAGCCCTATCTTTCTACAGTGAGTTCACATTTGATAATGGCCATAAATAATAGAGTGTTTGATTTCATTATAAATTTAAGATTTAGTTTAGACAAAGGTTAAGAAGCATACAATCAACTGTAATAATAATAAGAAGAATAAATAACAAAAATATACAGCAATCCCTCTTCACTCGGCCTGGCTCAGCTTAAAATTGTGGGTTTTCCGTTTCTGTTGTAAGCATTTCCAGCAGACCCTGATTTACATTATAGTTGCCAAAGCAAATCTAAAACGGTTTGTAAAAGGATGTTCCGAATAGACTCTCCCTTTATTCAGAAGTGCTGTGTATTTCTCTTTGGACTATAACTCAAGTGCTTTGAGATTTTATCCCCTTAAAAATGGGAAAGTATTCTCCTCTGTTTTGTTTTTTTTTAAATATTTTCTAAAATAACATGTTGACTATATTGAAAATACATTGCCTACGACAACTTACTTGTTCTTCCATATATAATGTTAAGAGAAAGTGCGCACCTAAAAACTACTGCACTTCACTGAATCTTCTGTTAACTTAATGACATAATATAATTATCTGACTGTACAGCACACTTGTAGCCTCCATTTTCCATGTCTATGATATGTAGACTAGACATTGCAACTACAGTGAAAGGTGTCAGTTGTATAATTTTGCTGGTATGACATCAGTATGACTATCAACAGACTGCCAATTTTTGCTGAGAGCCGCTTACCACGCACATGGAAAACAGGCGCCTATGGAAAGCCGTATTAACATTTAATCAAGTCACACTCCTATCCGTAATTACATTTTAGATATTCACAATAGCTTTTCTCCTAGTCAAAAATGTATTCTTACTAGTCAAAAAGAGCATTTCAGATATCCACAGTGGCATTCTTCCTATCCACAACTGTCATTTCAGATATTACATTATGGATATCTAAAATGGTGGCATCCTTTCGGATATCTGAAATTAAAATTATGACCAGTAACAATTAGATTGTAGATATCTGAAATGGGACTTTTTCCTAGAAAGAATTCAGTTGCAGATATCCAGAATGAACATTCTGGATATCTGAAATATAATTGTGGATATCTGAAATTAAAAGCCCAATAGACGTCAAAAGTGACGTAATTTCTCCTAGGAAGAATGACGATGTGGATATCTGAAATGGCAATTGTGGATTGGAAGAATTTCATTGTGGATATCTGAAATGCTCTTTTTAACTAGGAAGAATTAGAGATATCTGCAATACATATCTAGTCTAGCAATAAAATGTTAAAACAGCTTCCCATAGGCGCCGCTGTCGCGAGATGTGGCTGCTCTAATCTGTTAATAAAAGCGTCAAAATGAAAATCAATACTTTCCGCAGCCGCACCGCACAGTGTCCTTCCACCAAATAATAGTGACTGACACTCAAATACAACACATGCAATGACACAGAAAGTACATCAGGTGAATTCAGTCCAAGCTTGTATCTTAGGTGGAATTATTTCAGCGCTGGGTTCAGAGAAGAGGAACAAATTGGTAAATAAAATGCAAGGTAAGTGACTCCTGTTATCGGGGTGGTTGTGGTCCTCTGGTGTTCCTCTTGGCTGGGGTCCCGTGGTTGGTGTCTCTGGGTGGCCAGTGGCCCGGCCTGTTGGGGACAGTATGGGGGATGGGGGGCGGCACGCTGGGGGGCTCTGGGTTTTGCCTGCGCCGCTACGCTGGGGTGGGTAGATCTGGGGCGTGGGCTCTGTCGCCTGGGGCCACGGCCCCGACCCCCGGGCAGGTGGTCGCCCGCATGCAGTGGAGCCTGGCCTGCCAGCTGTGCGGGGTCGGGGATGGGGACTAATCGGGGCCAGTCGGGGATCTAGCCCCGGTGCGGGGGAGTCCACTCCTGACACGCCCTTATTGCTCCCCTGGGCCCGACACCACATTGCACACGACACTAGGGCTTTGAGGGGCGGTGGGGAGGTGCGCCGAGGCACTGCCCCTCAATTTTGACTTGCATGTTAGACACCACATACACTGCATTCTCCCCTGCACTTTGTTTTCTCCATGCCAGCTTAATTACTACTCTTATTATTATTTCTATTTACCTTTTTTTCTCTCGCCATGGTGATTAATGTCTGTTATTATTATGATTGTTGTTGCTGTGTGTCCCTCCCCCCCCCTTTTTTTTTATATAATCACGGTACTGGGCGGGTGAGTTCGGAGTGGCCACACTGGAATTGAATATCTTTACACTGTAAAAAAAAAAAAGTGAAGACTGCAATCAAGGTTAACCGTGTTTCACACTTGTAGTGGCCTGAGATCCCGCGTATGCAGCAGCAACGTAACCGATGCCATAGTGCATCAGTCTGTGCACATTTGGGTGGTGATGGATCATAGTGCTGAGTTTTGGCTCTTTCATGAATCTTAATAACCCCCTCATAATTTCCTGTGTTCTTCACTCAGGTCGTAGAGTGCCCAATCCAACCACATCTCCTCAGTACAGCCATCCGAACCTGATCAGTGGTCTGATCCATTTCCTTCTGTAAGTGGATGTGGCTGCAGTTTCTTACAGCTCTGCACTTTCACACCACCCCGCAAAGTGGAAAGTCCACCCAAACTCTTTTTTCGCTTTGCCCTTGGTGCATGTCCTCCCCCTGGTTTCTTCCCACAATTGAGATATATGTGCTATGCGGCTAGGCTAATCGCTGTCTCTAGATTGCCCGTGAATGTGTACGTGTGCCCTGTGATGGAATGGCATCTCGATAAGCAGTTATGATAAATGAATGAATTTTCATTTTCCCTTGTTGAACGGTACTTCCACAGTTGAAACAGGAGCCCGGTAAAGAGAACCCCATCTTCACTCCAAACGACAAGCCTGAGGCCTGGCTACTAGCAAAGATTTGGGTCCGTAACTCTGATTTCTACCTGCACGAGGTGATCTCCCACTTTCTGAGGACACATCTGCTGGCTGAGGTCTTCTTCTTCAGCATCTTCACGTCGCTGAGTGATCACCACCCAATCCTGAGGGTACAGTTCTCTTTTATGAGTGGGCAACGTCAAAGAACATGGGACTCAGTCAGGAGGAGTTTTTTTATTTACATTTTTAATTATTATTATTATTATTATTATTATTATTTAGCAGACAGTTTTGTCCAAAACAGCATAAAAGTGAGTCATTACACAAAGCACATTTCAAACGTACATGCTGTCAAGGAGCTGAGTAGGCATAAGGGCAGCTAGGCTGAGCTTCCAGTGAATGTCCAGGTACAAGTGTGAGCAGAACCGGAGCAGGAGCTACACAACAACTTCTCACAAACCAATAACTTAATAAGACTTGTATTCGATGAGCAAAAAGTACAACATAAAAAGCATTTGAGGAACATGGAGAGGTTCCAGGCTAGTAGAGGTGGTTCTAGAACAGATGGGTCTTGAGGCGTTTCCTGTAGCTGGAGAGGGAATGCGATGACTGGACGTGGTTCAGCAGCTCTTTCCACCAACTGGTAACCTGTAAGGCAGCACCAAGGATTTGAACTTGATGTGAGTTCCCAGAGGGAGCCAATGAAGAGAGGCAAGCAGCGTTTAGGCTGACTGAATCAGACCTACTGTCACACTATAATTGATTGTGTTTAAATGCTGAAACAGTTAAATGACCTGCAGGTAACATTTAATTTGCTCGGTTTTGCTGCCCAACACTAGAGAATTTTTAAGACCCTTTCATACTATGTTCTGCTCAATCAGATCTTTGTTGCCACGGGGAGATACACGATACCAATCAACGTAATAGCCAGAGCTACACTCACCAACGACACTGGCTTCTTTATGGAGGTTAGTGGACTTGTTTTATACTGGTTTGAATATTATCTGTAAGGTTCTCACCTTAATATGCAGTAACTCACAGAGGGATGAGTTGCCTTTGGGTCATTAAGCCAGGCCTTAAACACCACAGAATGCTCTACAACGGGAGAAGATGGGATATGTGAACACAGAGAATTTCATTTTACTTGTGCAAATAAAGCATAATTTCATTTAACATAATGCAACAAAAGCCTGAAAACTCAGTACATCTTACACTGTCCTTTTCCCTCATAGTACACAGCCTTCGGCAAGGACGCCCAGTATGAGCTGTTGCAGAGAGCGTTCAGCCAAGTAACCTACAAGAGCCTCTGTCTGCCTGACAACCTGGAGAGCCGTGGAGTGCAGCATCTGATGAACTATTACTACAGGGAAGATGCCCTGGTTATCTGGGATGCAATATCTGAGTAAGGAGTTTTCTTTGCTTTCATTGGCTGTGTGTTGTAACTCATCCATCCAATCACCACTCTGTCGNGTAGTTCCATGGCCTGCAGGATGTGAGCCAGCAGGTGACAGTCAGCAGCTTAAGTGTCTGAATCACACCGTGTTAAATTTTGTATGGATGGTGAGATATGGCTCTTGATAAAGACGGTTCTCTCTGCTTAAGGGAAATGTCCGTCACTTTCTAATGGATTTCAATTTTTTTTTCTAGAGCTAGTTGGCTGGACTTCACTTCCTCTCAGTAAGTTTAAACACTGATGTTGAAACACACCACGGTCTTAGTTGAATAAAATCATTTCCTCTATCTAATGAATTTTAATATTTTTTTCTAGGTGCACCTTCCAAAGAAGCAGAGTCGCAGAATTTCAGTATGTCTGATCCATGTTAAAACTCTATACAGTCGGCCCTCGGTATCCATGGGGAATTGGCTAAAAGACGCCCCCCGGATACGAAAATCCACAGATTCTCAAATCCGTCAGATTAAATGGTGTAATATGTAGATCCTTCCATATACTTTAAATCGTCTTTAGATTACTTATAATACCTAATACAATGTAAATGCTATTTAAATAGTTGCTAAACTGTCTTGTTTAGGGAATAATGACAAAAAACTGTACATGTTCAGTACAGATGCAGCCATCATAGTAGAATTATCACAGAAAAATAATTTATAGATACAGAAAATATAAATTCATTCTCTCTCTCTCTCTCTCTCTCTCTCTCTCTCACTCGCACACACACACACACACACTGTTAACACTCACCAACATCCAAAAATACACATGGAAATTTGTATGGAAATTCAGGTTTACATTTTCTGGATTTTTTTCCCGAATACTTTGGTTGAATCTGCAGATGCGGAACCTGGGGATATGGAGGGCCAACTGTATGTTATTTCACGGCTGATATTTCACGACTGGCTGAGTCCAGTAAATGATGCTTTTAACTTCAAAAGGTTCCATCGATTTGTGTTGGTATTACCATCAATATGAGAATATTAGATGAAAGCAGAAATATTGTAAAATAATAGATCAGTAGTAAAATGTTTGTCAATTTGTAATGCATTTTGTATTCTTCTCCCTGGCTGGTTGCCTGACCTTTATTTGTATGTTTGATCTTTATAGCGTATTATGACCAGTGCTTGTCGTTCAGTAAATGGAGGTTTTCTAAGTTCTGATAAACCATCTTCCTTTCAGCAAACACCTTCTCCCTCATGTCACTGGCCAAACAGCATTCCAGTAAGTCAACCTTGTTTATGTCTGTAAGATCATACAACAATTGTGATGTTTTTGTGAACCTAAAGGACTGACCCGTGAGAGCTTCTGTAACTGTGATCCCATTTCCAACTACAGCCTTTATCCCCAACCTTCCCAGTGTTTCAGGGAGAGCATTTACAGTTTTCTTGATATTCTTCTGTGATGGATTCTGTTTCTGGAGCTTATCATTTTTCCTCTACTGCATTGTGTATCCGCGTGTTTGTTCATTCTGCCTGCATTGCTGCTATGGTGCTGATACTGCAAGCCCTATCTTTCTACAGTGAGTTCACATTTGATAATGGCCATAAATAATAGAGTGTTTGATTTCAGTTCATTATAAATTAAGACAGCATGTACGTTAAGATTTAGTTTAGACAAAGGTTAAGAAGCATACAATCAACTGTAATAATAATAAGAAGAATAAATAACAAAAATATACAGCAATCCCTCTTCACTCGGCCTGGCTCAGCTTAAAATTGTGGGTTTTCCGTTTCTGTTGTAAGCATTTCCAGCAGACCCTGATTTACATTATAGTTGCCAAAGCAAATCTAAAACGGTTTGTAAAAGGATGTTCCGAATAGACTCTCCCTTTATTCAGAAGTGCTGTGTATTTCTCTTTGGACTATAACTCAAGTGCTTTGAGATTTTATCCCCTTAAAAATGGGAAAGTATTCTCCTCTGTTTTGTTTTTTTTTAAATATTTTCTAAAATAACATGTTGACTATATTGAAAATACATTGCCTACGACAACTTACTTGTTCTTCCATATTCCATTAATGTTAAGAGAAAGTGCGCACCTAAAAACTACTGCACTTCACTGAATCTTCTGTTAACTTAATGACATAATATAATTATCTGACTGTACAGCACACTTGTAGCCTCCATTTTCCATGTCTATGATATGTAGACTAGACATTGCAACTACAGTGAAAGGTGTCAGTTGTATAATTTTGCTGGTATGACATCAGTATGACTATCAACAGACTGCCAATTTTTGCTGAGAGCCGCTTACCGCGCACATGGAAAACAGGCGCCTATGGAAAGCCGTATTAACATTTAATCAAGTCACACTCCTATCCGTAATTACATTTTAGATATTCACAATAGCTTTTCTCCTAGTCAAAAATGTATTCTTACTAGTCAAAAAGAGCATTTCAGATATCCACAGTGGCATTCTTCCTATCCACAACTGTCATTTCAGATATTACATTATGGATATCTAAAATGGTGGTATCCTTTCGGATATCTGAAATTAAAATTATGACCAGTAACAATTAGATTGTAGATATCTGAAATGGGACTTTTTCCTAGAAAGAATTCAGTTGCAGATATCCAGAATGAACATTCTGGATATCTGAAATATAATTGTGGATATCTGAAATTAAAAGCCCAATAGACGTCAAAAGTGACGTAATTTCTCCTAGGAAGAATGACGATGTGGATATCTGAAATGGCAATTGTGGATTGGAAGAATTTCATTGTGGATATCTGAAATGCTCTTTTTAACTAGGAAGAATTAGAGATATCTGCAATACATATCTAGTCTAGCAATTAAATGTTAAAACAGCTTCCCATAGGCGCCGCTGTCGCGAGATGTGGCTGCTCTAATCTGTTAATAAAAGCGCCAAAATGAAAATCAATACTTTCCGCAGCCGCACCGCACAGTGTCCTTCCACCAAATAATAGTGACTGACACTCAAATACAACACATGCAATGACACAGAAAGTACATCAGGTGAATTCAGTCCAAGCTTGTATCTTAGGTGGAATTATTTCAGCGCTGGGTTCAGAGAAGAGGAACAAATTGGTAAATAAAATGCAAGGTAAGTGACTCCTGTTATCGGGGTGGTTGTGGTCCTCTGGTGTTCCTCTTGGCTGGGGTCCCGTGGTTGGTGTCTCTGGGTGGCCAGTGGCCCGGCCTGTTGGGGACAGTATGGGGGATGGGGGGCGGCACGCTGGGGGGCTCTGGGTTTTGCCTGCGCCGCTACGCTGGGGTGGGTAGATCTGGGGCGTGGGCTCTGTCGCCTGGGGCCACGGCCCCGACCCCCGGGCAGGTGGTCGCCCGCATGCAGTGGAGCCTGGCCTGCCAGCTGTGCGGGGTCGGGGATGGGGACTAATCGGGGCCAGTCGGGGATCTAGCCCCGGTGCGGGGGGGTCCACTCCTGACACGCCCTTATTGCTCCCCTGGGCCCGACACCACATTGCACACGACACTAGGGCTTTGAGGGGCGGTGGGGAGGTGCGCCGAGGCACTGCCCCTCAATTTTGACTTGCATGTTAGACACCACATACACTGCATTCTCCCCTGCACTTTGTTTTCTCCATGCCAGCTTAATTACTACTCTTATTATTATTTCTATTTACCTTTTTTTCTCTCGCCATGGTGATTAATGTCTGTTATTATTATGATTGTTGTTGCTGTGTGTCCCTCCCCCCCCCTTTTTTTTTATATAATCACGGTACTGGGCGGGTGAGTTCGGAGTGGCCACACTGGAATTGAATATCTTTACACTGTAAAAAAAAAAAAGTGAAGACTGCAATCAAGGTTAACCGTGTTTCACACTTGTAGTGGCCTGAGATCCCGCGTATGCAGCAGCAACGTAACCGATGCCATAGTGCATCAGTCTGTGCACATTTGGGTGGTGATGGATCATAGTGCTGAGTTTTGGCTCTTTCATGAATCTTAATAACCCCCTCATAATTTCCTGTGTTCTTCACTCAGGTCGTAGAGTGCCCAATCCAACCACATCTCCTCAGTACAGCCATCCGAACCTGATCAGTGGTCTGATCCATTTCCTTCTGTAAGTGGATGTGGCTGCAGTTTCTTACAGCTCTGCACTTTCACACCACCCCGCAAAGTGGAAAGTCCACCCAAACTCTTTTTTCGCTTTGCCCTTGGTGCATGTCCTCCCCCTGGTTTCTTCCCACAATTGAGATATATGTGCTATGCGGCTAGGCTAATCGCTGTCTCTAGATTGCCCGTGAATGTGTACGTGTGCCCTGTGATGGAATGGCATCTCGATAAGCAGTTATGATAAATGAATGAATTTTCATTTTCCCTTGTTGAACGGTACTTCCACAGTTGAAACAGGAGCCCGGTAAAGAGAACCCCATCTTCACTCCAAACGACAAGCCTGAGGCCTGGCTACTAGCAAAGATTTGGGTCCGTAACTCTGATTTCTACCTGCACGAGGTGATCTCCCACTTTCTGAGGACACATCTGCTGGCTGAGGTCTTCTTCTTCAGCATCTTCACGTCGCTGAGTGATCACCACCCAATCCTGAGGGTACAGTTCTCTTTTATGAGTGGGCAACGTCAAAGAACATGGGACTCAGTCAGGAGGAGTTTTTTTATTTACATTTTTAATTATTATTATTATTATTATTATTATTATTTAGCAGACAGTTTTGTCCAAAACAGCATAAAAGTGAGTCATTACACAAAGCACATTTCAAACGTACATGCTGTCAAGGAGCTGAGTAGGCATAAGGGCAGCTAGGCTGAGCTTCCAGTGAATGTCCAGGTACAAGTGTGAGCAGAACCGGAGCAGGAGCTACACAACAACTTCTCACAAACCAATAACTTAATAAGACTTGTATTCGATGAGCAAAAAGTACAACATAAAAAGCATTTGAGGAACATGGAGAGGTTCCAGGCTAGTAGAGGTGGTTCTAGAACAGATGGGTCTTGAGGCGTTTCCTGTAGCTGGAGAGGGAATGCGATGACTGGACGTGGTTCAGCAGCTCTTTCCACCAACTGGTAACCTGTAAGGCAGCACCAAGGATTTGAACTTGATGTGAGTTCCCAGAGGGAGCCAATGAAGAGAGGCAAGCAGCGTTTAGGCTGACTGAATCAGACCTACTGTCACACTATAATTGATTGTGTTTAAATGCTGAAACAGTTAAATGACCTGCAGGTAACATTTAATTTGCTCGGTTTTGCTGCCCAACACTAGAGAATTTTTAAGACCCTTTCATACTATGTTCTGCTCAATCAGATCTTTGTTGCCACGGGGAGATACACGATACCAATCAACGTAATAGCCAGAGCTACACTCACCAACGACACTGGCTTCTTTATGGAGGTTAGTGGACTTGTTTTATACTGGTTTGAATATTATCTGTAAGGTTCTCACCTTAATATGCAGTAACTCACAGAGGGATGAGTTGCCTTTGGGTCATTAAGCCAGGCCTTAAACACCACAGAATGCTCTACAACGGGAGAAGATGGGATATGTGAACACAGAGAATTTCATTTTACTTGTGCAAATAAAGCATAATTTCATTTAACATAATGCAACAAAAGCCTGAAAACTCAGTACATCTTACACTGTCCTTTTCCCTCATAGTACACAGCCTTCGGCAAGGACGCCCAGTATGAGCTGTTGCAGAGAGCGTTCAGCCAAGTAACCTACAAGAGCCTCTGTCTGCCTGACAACCTGGAGAGCCGTGGAGTGCAGCATCTGATGAACTATTACTACAGGGAAGATGCCCTGGTTATCTGGGATGCAATATCTGAGTAAGGAGTTTTCTTTGCTTTCATTGGCTGTGTGTTGTAACTCATCCATCCAATCACCACTCTGTCGTGGACCTTGGGAAGGACAGGCCACTTTCGCACATTAGCCAGATGTTTTCTGGCATCAGATTTTGTATAACATGGTGTAAGTGATAAAAGTATCATGGCTTATTTCAAATGCTGTTACTGTTTGTTTTAGATTCCTTCAGAGGGTCATTGATGCGTACTACAAAGACGATCACGATATTAGAAAGGACACTGAACTTCAGAACTTCTTTTCCTATACTTACCGTTATGGACTTCAGGGAGAAACAGGTAATTTGGTTAATAATATAAGTATCTTGTGCTTATCTAGGTAAAGTATGTATTTATATCATGAACCACAAACAAAGCATCATGAGATTTTTATAAGAATTGCAGAAATCAAAGGGAGGCGTTTTCCTTGTATTTAATTAGATTTACTGCAAAGGGTGGAGACCAAAGCGGAAGCGGTCAGATACCTGAGCATGGTGATGTTCACCTGTTCAGCTCAGCACGCCGCTGTGAACCATGGACAGGTGACGTGCTGATAACTATAGCCATGGATGATAAGATTCATGAATGAAAAGATCTCTTTTATTAAACTGTATCAGAGTTGCACCGAATCCTTTACCCTCCCTACAGTATGACACTTACGCCTGGATGCCAAACGGTCCCACAACGATGAGGCAGCCCCCACCAAAGTACAAGGATCTGGTGGATGAGCAATACATTGTCAACACTCTGCCTGGCTTGGCGTCCACCCTGGAAGCCATGGCTGTGTCCCGGTTCCTCAGTCAGGTCTCCGAAGACATTGTAAATGCTCAGCTGTTTGAATTTGCTGACCATTGTGACACGTATCTGCATCTGTATCCTTTCGTTAAAGTTAAAAAAGAAAAAAAAAAAACATCTCACTGGCAGTAGGATGCTGGTACTGAAATTGATCTGGAATATTTCAGTCAGTCCTTGGTCCCTGTGTTCTCCACATATGGTTCCCTGAGAGAACCAGCATCTCAATAAATTCTTCTAATCCTAAACTCATCCATTCTGCCCTGTTAGCTGTAAGCAATCCGATAATAGATGGACAGATCTGTTCTGTTCACTATTCAGTCTGTGATAAAAGTAGGCCGAGTCACTGTCATTATGCAGTAATTATGCACTTTGATGTGGGATCTCCTCTTCAGCTCCCAAGTGTAAGAATGTTCATTTGTCTTGATATGGAAGCTGAGGAGCAAAACTATCTGGAATTTAAATCAATTATTTACATCACAGTCAGTCCTCTACACTGCCCCCACAGGTTGCCCTGGGAACTTACGCGAATGAAGTATCTAATGACCCACGTCTGAGGGATGCGATCAAGAAATTCCAGACACGGCTAAGCGCAATTGGGGAAGCAATTAAGGAGCGGTCAAGGGAGCAGCCCTTCCCGTACGCGTATCTGCACCCCGCTGGAATTGAAAACAGCATCGCCATCTGACAGATGGGGTCGCAAACCAGAATTTGTTCTCCTTCACTTTGATTTGCTAACATTACTCACATCCTTGTTTCTGATTGGTAGGTAATAGATGCTATTAATTGAGTTGAAAGTTGGCGCAAAGCATGTAGCTGGTGTTGTGATTAAGCAAAGTATCACCCAATCACATGTAACACTGTAATCCAGGGCGTTTGGTCTTTTCCTAACCCTATATTTAGTCTGTATCATGCTGCATGTTCCTAAGGCTGCAGGCTATTTCACCTTCCATTCCTTTGGTGTATCACACCAATGATAATGGGGGTTGCTTTCATTTTAATTCCTAATGTCTTTACATTTTTTTTTTTTATTTTACCTGAAACCAGAATCTCTTACATACAGTAAGCAGTTGGCAAGGAATACACGTCATTTTGTGATATTCCACTAGGGGGCATACTAATTCCACACATTACTTGTATAAACATTTCATATAGAATTTGGTCAATAAATGGCTATCAAGACATTGGTACTGGATTTGTATTAATAAATGAAACACCTGGGGGGGGGGGGCAAAGGGGTGCAGCTTCAAGGAAGATAAATGGGCACAGCCTTCATTGGAGGTTCTATGAGCAAATATGGAGGGTCTGGCCATATATAAAAAATACATGAGAAGCACATACCCAGCCAGAAAGGGACCACCAGTGACCAGCCCACCCCCCCAATATACATGTTAAATTCTCTGTCCCCTGACAATATGGTTTGTAAACATGGAAAATTCCACTCATTTTTAATGACTTACAAATTAAAGGACTAGATTGTCTAGATTTGGGATAATTATCATTTGCACCATTTCTGCTGTTTTAATTGTCAGAATATAGATCTGTGTGAAATGTGATTATAGATTTATTTGAACCCTGGTCTACTGCTTTTGTGAGGGATCTCCAGCTCTGTATCTCTGTACCTCAGTTGTCCCACAACAGTGTCCATTAACCATGACGGGTGACGGCTTTTCGCTCCTACAGCCCGAAATCACACCCTTCAGACACAAAAACTCACCAGGGCTAAATAAAAGAATGATTTAATAGATCCTGTATTGAAAGCTATTTTACACAAATTATGCTTCAAGTCCAGACACACAGCAGCAGTAATGCCAGTTTCAGCTGAAAAAGACCGGAAATGAACAGCCCAGTCCGAAAGGAGGGGGGGGGTGACAGGGCCAGCCAGAGACCCCCCAGCTTGGATGGGGTCCTGCTAACCAGACACATCAAGGGTGGGGGCAGCTGTATAGGCACAATGAGTGTCTACACACTTGCATACACACACATGGTGAAACTCTATATTAGAAAAGAAAGTTTAAAAACATTCCACATACCCCACTGTGTGATTTATTTCTTACGTGGGGGTGTTTTCAGCTGAGAATGACCTGAAATCTATGTTTTTCCAGTCCCATCTTCCCAAAATCACTTCACTGCACATTTCCTACTCTGGCCCTTCACATAACGCAGCAAAAACGGCACTGGGCAGGAAAAGGGGGGGGGGGTTCAGAGTCTAAGTGATGAGGGGAGCGTGGCACACTCCGGGGGGGGCTCATCGACGGTACACCCCGAACGCCACAAAGCTAAAGAAGATGGTGATGCCCACCAGCGAGGCAGTGGCAGGGGCCGTGAAAAAGTGCCGGTACTGGATCTGAAAATACCAGAGCACGGACAGCATGAGCACGAAGAGGGGCACCATCAGGCTGCCCACGTTGAGGGCCACGTGAACCTGGTCGGCCGCCCGTGCCCCCGCGGGCACCTGGGGTGTGGCGTGCTGGGAGATGTGGCAGTGCAGAACGCAGTTGTCGGCCAGGTTGAGCGAGGCCAGGGTCTGGGCATCATCACGTAAGAGCTGGCCCTGGTAGATCAAGCGCACCTGGTGCTCCTGCCCTGCAAAGTATGTCCTGTAGGGGGAGACAAAGATATTCAGAAGGAGCAAGGAAGTCGCACAAGTGTTTACATTCAAAAGGTAAATAAGATGAGCTTAAAATGAAATTATATATCATTAAAACCATAAAACCACAGCCAAGGAAAGGTCTCCTTGGTGACAGTGAGACCAAAGGGATGTGATCCCAACAGGAATGAAGTGGTTCCACGCTCCAGCACAGCAGGGCCTCATTAAGGGGTAAGAACAGCAGTCCAGCACTGCTGGCTGTGTGCCCAAATACTTACAACTGAATCCACCCCCCCGCCCCCCAAGCCAGTTTGGATTTATTTTCACTGAAATTCTCTGATCATCTGCAACCCACCCCCATTTGATAGCGAGCAGCAACGTGCCAATGTGCTTCAGTCCATCAGAGGTGGATAAACTTTTGATAGAGTCAGCGGGGATGTGGCCAGCCAAGATACCACAGCCTAACAATCCAACCCCGAGGCAAATTTAGGGTGAGAAAGATGAACCCAGCCAGAGCGTGAAGGCAAAACTGTGATTGTCATTCAACTGTGATACATGCCTTTTGATGTAGCCGATGGTGTCTTCCGGCTTGACCTGGGCCACTCTCTCCGTGTCGTTGAGGAACTTGAGCCTAAGGACCATGTTTCTCTGGGCATCATCAGAGGTGTCACCTCCATCATGGCTGGGCTGCTGCAGGGAGGGGCCAGCATCGACAGTCTCTCTGTGTCGCAGACCTTCCACCCCGAATTCTCCGAGCTCGGGGAGGCGGCCCCCTGCTCCTCCCCTGGTCTGTTCCCCATCGGCCGCCTCTCTAGGGGACTCCTCCTTACTCCCCTCCTCGCTGCTTCCAGCGGCCGGGGGGCTCTCCAAAGGGCTGGCATCATGACCGGTGTTCTCCTGGGAGGGGGGCGACCGGTGTAGGGGGGCAGTAGCGGGACCAGAGGCAAACAGGTGCTCGGTGCGGTCGGCCGTGTGGGTAGAGGCCCACGCCAGCACCAGCACCAGCAACAACAGCACCACCCCAAAGAGCACCGTCACCTCATCGCCCACGCCCTCGATCAGAGCCATCCTCAGGGCGTGTCCCAGACAAAGGTGGCGTTCAGGTAGGCACCTAGGGCAAAGGGAACGTATTGTGTGTAAGGAAGTAGCACACACCAAAAAAAATAAAAAAAACATAACCTCAACCTGAAAGGCTCATCGAAAACACCACCTGCTCTTTAAGACGACGAAGTGTCAAACAGAGATATAAGAACATAAGAACATAAGAAATTTACAAACGAGAGGAGGCCATTCGGCCCATCAAGCTCGTTTGGGGAGAACTTAACTAATAGCTCAGAGTTGTTAAAATCTTATCTAGCTCTGATTTAAAGGAACCCAAGGTTTTAGCTTCCACTACACCAGCAGGAAGACTATTCCATACTCTAACTACACGCTGTGTAAAGAAGTGCTTCCTCAAATTTGTTTTAAAATGTTCTCCCGCTAATTTCCACTTATGGCCACGAGTTCTAGTATTTAGACTAATATTGAAATAGTCATTTGGCTGAACAGCATCCAGACCCTGTTTTTAAGTTTTGTGGCACAATAGTGTGTAGCACTGATACCTCACTCATCCAGGGCTAGGAGTTTGCATCTCACCTCTGCTTTGTATGTGTGCAGTTTGCATGTTCTCCCCGTGTCATGTGGGTTGCCTCCCACTGTCACAAAATATGGTGTGTTTCTCAACACCAAGAATGCAAAAAATTACTTATGTAATTACTTATGCAAAAATGATCTCGCTAACTTGCCTCCAACGAACTTGGGACGCAATGAATCATAGGATCGTTCTCATTTGACGAGGGTGCATCCGATGCATCCTTGATATTTGGAGCGGAGCAAAAACAACCACCAGGGATTTTTACCATCCTTTTGTTTTTAGTATTGGAACTGGTCTTCAGGAATGGAAGATGATGTAGAGCAGGTATGCAAGAACACAAGTACGGTGAAATACACATATTGAGAAACACCCACGCAGTTAGGCTAACTAGTGTTCCTACATTAACCACAATGCCCTGCAACATCCACACACCACTCATGGGTCTCACAAATCATAGATTATCTAGGCCTTTGCAGGTGCTGAGATATCCTGTGTGAGTAAAATCAGCAGCTTCAACCAACCACCGCAAAATCTTTTCTTGAAATCTTTTTTCAAAAGCTTACAAGAAAAATAAGCCATTTCCAGAGAAGAATCATACACCCACAAGAATTCTCTGATACCACTTTGAAAGTAAGCACTTTGGTGGGCCAGTGCTTCTGAGCCACATCATAACATGACACAGACCAGCTCCAATCTCATTAGGTAGGCTGTACTTTAGAACTAAAGGTCAAATGTACCTTCACACATGCAAAAGAGCAGCTCGCTTTGAGTCTGATGCCTTAACGCGTCCAGCCGTCTGAATACTCGGTTGGTGTAGAAGGTGATGCCTTCATTAGCGCCTGGCGTGGGAAACGGACAACTTAATGTGCACAACGTGTGTGGTTTGTTTAAAACACTAAATCTGAATGTAGGTCAGGAGAAATGCCTTCGAAATAAAACATTCGGGATAAATAAGTAATGACTCGGCAGCAGAACCGTCCTGATGTCCCTTTCTCTGGCATTACAGGTCCCGAGTCCCACAGCTGAACGTCAGTAGGTACTGACAGCACCCGCACCCCCACCCCCACGGGCCACCGCGATTTCACTATTTTAATTCGCTCAATGCAAAACCTTCACATTCACTCTCCCTGTGTACTTATCCTTTAAATATCATTAAAAAAAACAAAGAAAATCACGGTTTTCAAGGAGATCCCATGGTTGTCATGGAGCAGCGCGGCGTACAGGGGCACAGTAACCCGCGTTCGCACCGACACACCGGCCTCTCTATCCGCAACTGAAACCCCAATCCGAGGCCGTCTCCGCGCACGGAATCTGTCTGCTATAGCAGCACCCAAGTGGAGTGCTGCGGGGCCACCCAGGCCCACAAACAACCCTCGCGGCCCTACTGGGCAAACAGGTTAGCAGGCACCATGTTTACATACAGCTAGTCAACCAGTTTCCCCAGGAAAGCCTCCCATCCGCACAGCTACACGAACCAGATGCAATAAAAAAAGTAACCTGCAGGTCCTTAACCGCGCCACCACAACTCCGCACACGTTACACGAAATAAAACATAATTTCAAAACGGTTTAGGTTTACTTACTGTTATTGTTTTAGGGTGCATGGCAAACAATTTCGGTCCTTTCCACTTAGCTTCACACTTCCTGGACTATACAAGTCGTACAGGAAATGACTCACACTAACCGGAGGTGGGAATTCTGGGAAATGTAGTGCTTTTTTTTAATCAGTCAGCCTACGCGATTTTGATGCGTCTTTAGGAGGACATCGTCAGACGCCACGCATAGTTTGCGTCCCGAATAATGTCAATATTATGTAAATAAAAATATAACATGTAAATCGATTACTCATTGGGTAGCGCTGCTTCCTCACACCTGCAGGTTTGGGCATTTGAATGTCTCCTCTCCCCTTGTTGTGTCGGAATCCTACCACAGACCCAAAAACACGCAACTGACCCAGTTGCCTTCTCTAATTTGTATATTTTGTATGTGTGTGTGCTTATTGCTCTATTGCGCCAAATGCTATGTCTTCATATTTGTCTTGGTGATAAACATTTTAGTTGGACTGTAAACAGACTCCCCGTCATGAGCGCTTTAAAGAGTTAATTTATTTATGACTTTAAAGAAACAGAGGCAGAATTCTCATTACTTCACAACCAGTTGTATTCATTATTAATCACTGCTCATTCAGTTAACACCTCCGACATGACTCGGTGTCTCTAAATTCGTTGTACCTTCCTGCCTCACCGTTAGGTTACATACTTTTGGCAGGAGTTCCAGGCAGTCTGTGTGGTGTCTCTCCCAGAAAAACCTCCTCCTTCTTTCCTCCTTTGAGGAAAAAAAAACGATCACCTGCTCTTCCCAGTGCTGTCTGCTTATGGCCCTGAATGATCCTCCTCTCTTTGCAGCTCCTATGTTCTTTGGAAACACCAGTTTCAATTTGCCCGGCTCAGTATAATTGGAGGAAATGGGTGGCTGGGCGAAACGCAACACGCTGTGTACAGCAGATGTACTTTATAATAAGCGGCTAGGAGACGGAGGAATGTATGTATGGAAGGATAATACTTATTTTAAAAGATCAATTTTACACCAGGTTGTTGCATCACACAATTCCTGGAGATATGACGTGATTGAAAAATAACTGTAGCGGAACGGGAATGAAAACCGCAAACGAGGAGCCGGTGTTCTGCGTGAGAGTAAGCTAGAGATGTAGTCTATATTGATGTGTGTCAATAGATGCTAATATATTTATTATATAATCTTTGAAAGATTGCCACTTAAACTGAAAATTCATAATGCCTTAGTTTAACCTGAAATAATAATCCCAAAAATGCGATAACCAGGCGATGCTTTGAATATATTTCTTAGTGCTGTCAGTTGTGAATTAGAAGATCAGTGGTCATGTTGACACACCACAGCACAACAACGAAATGTGCCCTCTGTATTTAACCCATATGTGACATAGCAGGGCACGGCTAATTCAGCGCCAGGGGAGCATGCAGTGCATGGGGGCGGTAACTTGTTGGTCGGGGATTCGAATCAGCAATCTTTTAATTAACAAGTACGCTTCCCTAACCATTAAGTCACCATTGCCCACAACTAACTGTTTAACTGTTTGAGCGCTCTTCGATTTCATCGGCTTCCCCACGAGTATCGCTCCTTTCCTCTGGATTAGGGAGGCTCCACAACTGATCATTCTTTAGGCAGTTGAAGGAGCTGGAAAATGTGATTCTAATGAATATGTTGTCCATTGGATACACGTTTTCCTTAGGGAAATTATACTTGAACATTGCTACATTTGGATTATAGGCCTATACGTGAAAAACGTTAGTCGTGTTGTACAGTAGGCTGGTGTGTAAAAATGTGGTACAGCAAGCGCTCACGTTATTTTGTTCAGGTCAGTTTTTAAGGTTATTTTAAAGTTTTAAAAAGATTTTAAAGATCTTAATGTTCCCGGTTGCTCCATTATAAGGACCTTCCTTTGGTAGTGCGTTGCATATGATTGTGTAAATGGTCAAAACAATTACGAATCCGATTAATGTATGTGTGAAAGCATGGTTCGAATTACGGGGGGTACTAGGGGGTACTGTACCCCCCAATCAAGACAAAAATAGCAGTTTTCTTTTGTTGTAAAAAAAAAAAAGATAACCTCACCCTGTAGGAAAATTTTATGTAAAACGATTTCAGACACTCCTAATGTGGACCGTACCATTTTAACCACCTCGGCGCTAGAAGCAGCCAGTCGGTTGCGTCATTCAGTCTAATTGAGACCTGTTCATTGTGTTCGTCTGTTATGGTACTGTTTGTCGTGCATTGGTAAATGTAAGTAGGCAGCAGAAGTCTAGCCTGTTGAAAATGTGTTATTTTACAACCTTCATTTATTCGTTTAAGTGTTTCATCGACTAATGCAAGCTGACGTCTTTATAAGTTGAATTACTTACCATTGTCCTTCTGAGGCCGGTGTTCTGTCGAGTTGGGCTACTTTGTCGAGGTAAGCTACCGTACTGCTAATCGATAGCCCTAACCATAGCTTACCTTGACAAAGTAGCTCTACTCGACAGAACACGTTAGTTACGTTATCTAGCAAGATAAGCTAACTTCTCTATTTAAACCAGGCTAATTTGTTGAGGTAAAATCGATCATGGTCATTTTCCAAGGAGATGAACTCCCAATGTTTTCATTCTCATTTTATCATGAATAAAATGTGCCTTTCTGAAATTAATTAGCCACTTAGCCTGTGTGGTTTGTTATTAGGCTAATTTTAATGCATAAGAAGGTCTAACATTATGCTCTGAAAAAAACATTACTAGAAGTGAAACCTATAAGGGGCAACGTAAAAAAAAAAACTAGCTAGCAAATAATAAGCCCTATTATTTGGATTTTAATAGTATTGATTCTGCATTCCACAATTTCATATTTATAGACATTTTTTAGAAGGTTCATCTAATAGCCCAGATACTGTTTTGTTAAATATAGATAAGATTTTATTCACAGACACACTATGAGGAAAAGGAAAGATGGAGACATCAGACACTTTTTTGGTGGTAAAAGAAGAGTAAGTAGGAAATAGTGTTAAGAGCTACAGAACATTACATTAAAAGTATAGGTGCAGTTTTGCAAACTGTTAATGTGTATGAAGGAAAGTGGTGGTCAGCAGAAGGCAGGAGAGGCACAGGAGCAGGAAGCAGGTAGATGGCAGGATGAGGACAGTGTGCAGGACAGTGAGCAGGCAGCAGGAAGATGGCAGAATGAGGACAGTGTGCAGGCAGCAGGAAGATCGCAGGAGGAGGACAGCACACAGGACCAAGAGGTAAGTTAGACATTAGGCTGTACTTTAAGATCTACTGTATCATCAAGACAGATATTAGCCTAATAGGCAAATATGTATTTCTGAAGGCTGTTGGAGCTGGGGGGACTGAGAGGGCAGGAATAACACCAGACTGCTGGACCAGACCAGGCTGTTTGTAAATGTTTGTAAATTATCAAAACCAAATTCTTTTGGATAGTGATAAGGATAATGAGATCTTCTGTATTGATTCTCATTTTGTTGCATGTCCAGACCATGACCGTGTGTTGCATACATGTTAGTAAACACCCCTCGCGCATCTTGCACTCTTAACATTGATCCTGGTGGCGACTACTCGTATTGACGCGGTAGCGGACCATAATGGTCATAGAAGTGTTATGAAGGCAGTACCCCCCAATTATGGAGGGGTAATTCGCACTCTGTGTGAAAGGCTTTGAGCACCTGTCCCTCAAAAAAAATTCACGGTGTGAACACACTGCAGAATTTAAATTCGCCATCAGAATCCGCTAGCACAAGGTTTGACATAGTTATACCAAATGGCAAGCAGGGCGCGCTATTACTGCACGGACTTCACGCACGGAGACGATGGCGATCCGTCAATGAAGTTACGTCAACATCCAGATGTTTAAACGCAGAGGCATCGCCTCTTATTAATTCGATGTAAACCGGTACTTTTTTGCAGTGTTTCAGTTAATCGTGTTTCTTTAAGCCGAGACAATTCTCAGGTATACGTATTTAAAATAAACCCTCGTCATAATATTTTGCTATAAAATCGCACGTATTACTAACAGTCCAGTGCTCCTGAGTAAGAACTACGTTGCAATGCGAAGAATGGTCCCGAACTGGTTAGTGAATATTTTCTGTTGGTTTCGATGTGTAGTTTCTATTTAATCATATGGCACCGCATAATTTGCAATCGGTGATCCACGAAACAAAAATTATACAAATACTTCACGGCTTCGCATGTGAGGGTACAGGCGGAACTTTCAGCTGATGATGTTTTGGGGCATCTGAGCAAGAGCTTGGGGCATCTGGCTTAAACGTTCGTGCATTCGGGGGCACGCCCGGCGCATGCGCAGAGCGTCGCCGCGAGCGTCCGCGCGCTAGCAAAGGGTGGGTGTACAGGCTCGGAGGGGGGCAGTTTGCCTGCGTGTGGAAGCGAGTGTCAGACGGCGGGTATCGTCAGCAGGGAGAGGCTGGGATTTGGGTAGTCCGTCGACCGAAAGCCGTCTTTTAACCACGGAAAACAGGCGCGTTTCAGCGTGATGAGGACATTATATTCCGCTCTGCAGCGTGTGGTCGCAGCGCTGAGGAAATAATTCGCAGTTTTCGTAGTGAAATCGGGCGACGGTGCGGAAAAAGGGCAGGGAGTCTGCTTTCGGCCAGGGGACGGCGGTCCAGGCTCGGTTCCGCTTCAAGAGCCGCTGTAAAACTGCCTGCTTTGGATGTTCAGGGCTTCCTGACCTCACTCTCTTCTCCCCATCCCGAATCGGGCCACCCCACACCGAAGGATGCCGGACCAGATCTCGGTGTCCGAGTTTCTCTCGGAGACCACGGAGGATTATAACTCCCCCACCACGTCGAGCTTCACCACCCGGCTGCAGAGCTGCCGTAACACCGTCAGCGTCCTGGAGGAGGTGAGGCAGGCGGGCGGGCGGTGCCTCTGTGAGGGGTCACTGTCAGGGGAAGGGACCGGCCTTTTAGTGTGTCCAAACGGTAGGTCAGACGCAAAGCAGGCGCTGCTGGGACCCTGTCAGGGAAAGTAGACCTGTCTTGGTGTGTTTATAGACATGAAGCTGGCTTTATCTGCCCGGCACCATGCCACTCCGCTCTGTCAGGGGTGACACGCACCGGATGCTGGCTCCCATAGCAACGGCATCCAGGGCTTCACATTATGGGGAGTAATTAATGAAATCCATCCCCACTTTGAGGGGGGGGGGGTCGCTTTGCTCCAATGCTTGGGTTATGTTGCGCTCTTGACTTCTCTTTGTAAATGGCTGGTGAGTCTTGTATCCGGATGTTTGGGCTCTTTTGCAGACTATGGGTACTGTTGCTGGTGCTCTTAGAAGGTGGACATTTCAGTTCCACAGGCCCAGATACTTGGTTAGGTTAGTCAGGGCCCCCAGAAACCTAACAACCAACCACTGAACATGGTTTAAGGAAAGCAGCATTTCTGCGGGTAAAGGTGTTAAAAAGGCACTGCACACGCATCCAAGGTGTCCTGTTGCATCATACTCTGGATAGACCTCCTTTACGTCAGACTTCACAGCTTTAGGAAAAAAAAGCAAAATTGTGCTAAAAGTCACCCCCCCCCCTGCTTGAACATGTTTAAGTTGTGGGAGTGTGGCCTGTAAGCCAGTGGTGTGGGTTCGAGCATCGCTGTAGCTGTGTGGCATGGGTGACCTGATTTCCTTCCATGAGCCCTGAAGCGCAAAATCTTTGATTTAAAATGCTCCTGGAGAGGATCAGGGGACATAAACTGGTGGTTTTGTCCATGCCGGTGTTTGATCATAGGGGTACAGGTGCACACCTCCAAGGTCACACCAAGCACTGCCTGGAAAAGCATATGAACAAATCATGCATGCCAGTGTCTGGACAAATCTCCATTATGTGGATGAATCGTGGGAGCCCATGGTAACACTTAACAATGTTTTTAATGGGGCTCTGTGCCATATTCGGTGTGGGCTGCATTACATAACAAAAACTTTACAGGACTGTGGTGAAACAAGCTGTACTTCAGAGATTCGGCGCAGTGTCGAGTTTGTGTGTGAAATGATGTCATTGGCGGTCAGGGGACTCTTTGTCTGCCCTGAAGCACTGAGTAACTCAGCAGAAGCTGGATTGTTGTAAAGGTGGGAGGCTGTATGGACCTCTGTGCTGGGCAGTGGTACCCTGCTTGATCACACAACAAGCCACTTTACAGCTGTTTACTGCCCAAACTGCAGCTTTAATGAACTAAGCATGGGGGCAAGGGGGCACTCAAAGACATGGGACAATCTTAACCCTTTCTGGGCTGGAGGAGACGAGGTCTAAAGATTCCTCAGCTGTCTGAGAGTGAAAAGCGGACATCAGAAAATGAAAATGAGATAGTATAGGATTGTGAAAGAGGAGAGGCACTTGGGCATCTATGGTAGGAGCATTTGGAGCAGGGAGATGGTGACCGTCACACGGGAGCCTTTGCATGGGCAATCTCCCACTCTGCCTCCCACATTCAGCTCCCGCTCTGCCTCTGCGTCCCGCACTCAGCTCCCGCTCTGCCTCTGCGTCCCGCATTCAGCTCCCACTCTGCCTCCCGCACTCCGCTCCCGCTCTGCCTCTCCCTCCCGCACTCAGCTCCCACTCCCACTCTGCCTCTGCCTCCTGTACTTAGCTTCTGCTCTGCCTCTGCATCCCATGGTCAGCTCCTGCTCTGCCTCTGCTTTTTGCACTCACCACCCACTCTGCCTCTGCCTTTTGTGCTCAGCTCCTGCTCTGCCTCTGCCTTTTGCACTCACCACCCACTCTGCCTCTGCCTTCCGTGCTCAGCTCTCTATTGATTTACAGGCTGCTTTGATGATGGATTGTGGGGAAATGAGGCTGGAGTGATGGGCCAGTGCATCAGGGTGTGCCACTGATATGGCTTTTGCTTAATGTATGTCTGCAAAAGGATGGCTACAGGCCTGGATATCTGCTAGAAGAGCCAGATGGTCTGAGCTGGATGTGTGGAGATGCGACACAGATGAGGCCTGAAGAATGCATGGTACTGGGCTGGTAGGTTTGGCTTGAGGCTGCAGGTCATTCCGAGATCCACTAAGGCCATGATGTGGATTTCTTTCACCCTTCCATGCTTTACTTCTGTACTGATAATCTTCCTCCATGTGTGGGGCAGCATTGAGCTTCACATCAGCTAATTGATGTTTTATAGCAATAGAGTGAAATGCAAATGATGGCAGATGGGAAGGTGGTTGTTACATCCTGGTCAGTTGATATCACACTTCCTACCAATTACATTTTAGTGTGCGCAGACGGACACATGGCCTCCACCCATGTAGTGCAACCTTCAAGTTGTGAGGAGCATGACAGCGCAGGGTTTGACTTGAGATCTGGCCATTTGAGATATGCCTGTCTTTTATTCTCTTGTGGTGGTTGACTACTGTGACTCACCTAGCTGTAGTAGCCATGGGGCCTGACTCCATCTGATGGGATTGGACCTGTAGTAGCAAGAGTCACCAATGCCTTGTTTCCACCAACACGGTGCTGGTGCTGGTGCTAGTGCCGGTGCTGGGCTGGTTCTTGGTTGGTTCCTTTAGAGAACCTTCCTGCATTTCCACCAGTTTCTAAAAAGAACAGAACACAAATGTACATAGGCATAAGTGAGAGTAAAGTAATGGTTCATATGAATTCTGTTTTTTGTATTTATTTTGATCTGTTGGATTTTAAGATTTTATAAGGTGATGAACTGAAAAAAATGAGCTTTCAGTCTCATAGTTTTAAGATTGTATCTTTTTGTGCTCTGTCTCTATTGCCTGTATCTGCTTCTCTCTCTTTAATGGCTGTATTTCTCTCCAGTCTGTGTGTGTAAGTGAGTTTATTCTTGCTTGCTGTTTTACTGCTGTCCTTTTAAGGATAAGAGTCTGCTAAAATTTGAACTTCGCTGTCCAACTCATGATCGCTTTGCCACTCGAATACCACAATATTTTATTTATTTGACCTGTGGTGTTTATAATTCATTATTAAATCTGACCAACAGGTTGATCTTTTGTTTTTTGGATTGCAATGTAATGTTATTCAGCCAGCAAGTTGGTTAACTGCTGGCACTGATGTTATTAGACAAAACTATATTGATTATAGATTGAATTTTCTGGGTACAGAAGATTTGGGTGTCATAGCCCGTCCCACTAAGGTCAGTTTTTTAAGGAGGAAATGTCTGGAACCAGTTCCAGCCTGGCACTGGCTCCGGCACCATGTTGGTGGAAATGAGGCACAAGACTTTATTTCATTATGCAGACAAGGCAAAAAACAGGTGTCTTCTCAGGACCAAGAAGCAGCTCGCTAAAAAAAAAACCTTCCCAACTTGTGTAAGTGTGTCCTCCTTTTCCTGCACACGTATGAAGCGTGCCCTCCCTTTCCGCCCGCTCTCAGATGCCACTCAGTGGACCTGTTCAGTCTCCTGCCGGGTTGTGATACATCCCTTCTGCTCTGAATTTCCTCCCTTTTTAATAGAAAACAGGAAATGAAGGCATTTCCCTTCCTCTGGTTAGCTGGATGCTTGGCCTGTGAGTCTCTGCTGGAAAGTGGCTGTCTGGTATATTCAGATCAGGGCAAAGTGCTGTGTGTTTAAAGGCAGCTCATGCCCCCGTGTTTAAGGATCTCTGCACCTAAACAGAATTGAGCAGACATGGATATTGTACAGAATTGAGCAGGGTCAAGGTTAGGGGTAGGGTGTCATGGTCAGGGTTAGAGTTAGGGTTGTGGTCAGGGTCACACTCGACAAGGTTCAGCTTGGCCCTGCAGTGGTGGGGTTTGAGTTGAAGTGTGATGTGAGAGCTGTGGATGAAGGCCTGAATCTTCATCATCGTCATCATTATTATTGTTGTTGTTATTTGAGACAACTTTCAAATCCCAGAATGCCTTGCAATGCAGAGACATGAGCTCTTGCTGCTGTGTGGGATGGAAGCCATCATTTCACTATGAGAGTGTGTCACAATCTCTTCTTCCCACCTGCTTACTGCAGCTGCCTGTGCTGTGTTTCCACCACGTCTCCTGCCTCCGTTCCCCAGCTGCTCCCACCCTCAGGTGAGCTGGAGGAGGGGGGCATCAGCATAGTTGGCACGGCCCTCTGCTTTTGTCGCAGAGTCTGGTTTCCCCCGGGCGTGGCCTCACTGCCAGTCTCGTAACTTCATGGCTTAGCACTCTTCTCGAGTTTGTTGACATGGTAAATTATGCAGAGGAGTCTGGTTCATTTTTAATGAGGAAACCAGGAGAAGGAGCTGGCTGGCCCTGTGAAGGCCCTCTCTACTTTTCACCAGGAGTAACAGGCCTGCTGGCCCTCAGGAAGATCCATCTGAATCCTGATCACATCAATATTGCGCTGCTCTGGGAGTCGTTTGTGCAGTACTGGCTCTCTGTGTGGCCAAATCATGTTGCACTTTTACAACAGGAAGGATGTTTTTGTCTTCCCAAGGCTCGTGTGAAGATTGAATTATGAATGGAGTCAACATTCTCCCAATAATCTTTCAAAGACTAAAATGCCTGCTGCCCTTAGTGGTGCTTCCCTTGAACAGCTATGACGTTATTTTCGTCTGTGTTATGTTTCTGGTTGGATAAAGGGCCAAAGCACATTTGATTTGTCCTCAACATGTTGCTCCTCAGTGTGTCCTAATTGTGTCCTTGCGTCACTTCTGATTGCATCGCTCTTCAGTGTCTCATTGTGTTGCTCCCTAGTGTTTTACTGCTCAGTGCGTTGCTCCTCAGTGCGTCGCTGTTCAGTGTGTCATCGTGTTGCTCCTAGTGTGTCGCTCCTCAGTGCATTGCTCTTCAGTGTGTTATTGTGTTGCTCCTCAGTGCGTTGCTCCTCATTGTATCGATCCTGAGTGTGTTGATCCTCAGTGTGCCAACCCTTAATGTGTCAGTATGTCACTCCTCAATGTGTTGCTCC